CCCCCCCCTGCCCCCCCCCCCCGTGTTCCCGTACAGTAGCAGTTCAGTGTACTACTCGAAACGCACCGTTGTGCATCAGCCAGGGTAGCAACAGCGGCCGTGAGGCGAAAGACCGCCAAGACAAGGAGCGCGACAAAGAGACGGCCCTCTACTACTTTCCCTCTTCGGTCGCATGAATGTCGCCGCTTCTCCCCGCTCTCCCTTCCTGCTGCGCACGCCTTCCTCGCTTCGTCCCGGCCCTTCACTCACAACACGCGTGTATACATACGTCTACCTCCCCCAACACCGTAAAAATGCCGAACCAGTTAAGAGTCCAAGTTAAATCGAACCAATTTCTACCCATTCATTTTGCACGTCCTCTACGTGCGCACCGAAATCACACAACCAAACGCCCACAAGGGGCCCTAACTCCTCGAAGAAGGAAGCAAAACAAGAGACAAATCGAACCGAGCCGCCGTGTGAATCCGACTCGTTCACCCCTGACGGGAGCCAAGAGAACCATGCGTTACCAACAAAACAGCGGCGCTACAACCAACCTCCCGGTCTGAAACCGAAACTTAAAAGTAATGATAAAAGTAAAGAGAGAGCGGCCGAGTGGACGCGTGCCCATTTCAAATCGTAACGCTCGTACCTGAAGCGTCATACGGACAACAACCAGCCACACGGCTGGCGTCCCGCGGCGAAATAATAACAAACAACCCAAAAGGCGTGCCTGTCCACAGAGTAGTAGTGCTGCTCAAAGCTCCACCAACACCACCACTCATGCGTGCACACAATCCACATCATGGCGTGAAAAAAAAAATGCGTTTGTTTCTCCCCATCACTTCGAGGCGAGATGAACCACACCTTTGCAAAACACGAACGAGTGTTCCCGTACGAGGCACAAATAGAGCGTCGTCCGCACGCGCCGACGTATGGCTGTCTTTTGTCTCTTTCCCTGCCCGGACTGGACCTGGACCTCACGAGGCAAAAAAAAATATATATATATATATCCCCGCCCGGACGAAAGCGTGCGTCGTGCCCAGCAACCAAATCCAGCTGAACCTGAGGACTGACTCGCGTAATCAACACGATGGGGTCTTTGCTACCTGCCGCCTGTCACCCTGCCCTCTCCCCGCGCTCCACAGCAGTAGCAAGACGCTTGTTGCCAGACCGCCCATATTATTGGTTCATTTTTTCAGGTTCATCTTCATGCTCCGTCGGACGGACAACAGCAACGAAAACAACAATGGCCCATCCTCCTCTTCCTCCTCATCACCATCGCGCGCCTTTGTGTCCCCCCCACCTGGACAAGGACAAGAACGCCATCACCACTGCGTGCTGCCTGTGTCTGCCTTTAACGCGAAAAATGCCCCGAAGAAAGTCGGTGTAGCATTTCTACCGTCTTCCTCGTCATGTCATCATCTTCTGCGCTCAGGCCCACATATACATCACAAGGGCGTAAAATGAGGTTTCCCCCCCTGCTGCACGCATCTACAGCCGCATACCCCCCCTTTACCAACCCCACCTCCAACAAGCCGATATTAAGCAAAACACTCCTAGCTCTTCATCTCATTTAGTAGTATCGTAGCTCCTCATCATGCGTCCTTGCTGTATCCTGCGGAATGCATCCTTAGCCGTTCACCGGCCAGCAACATACAGCTACGACCGTAACTCGTTCTCTCCTTCGAGAGATGCAACAACTCCAAAATCGGCATACAACCCCGAACCCTCCTCGACGCAAACCCGGGTGCAGTACGTAGCGGGCACGTTTTGTCGCCCCCTTCTTCTCGAGGGCGGGAGGTAAACTCATGCACCGTCCGTCAGTTCGCGTGGCCGTCAAGGATTCTTACATCTCCTATGGTAGACAAGAGGGTGGTCAGCCATGAGTTACCTAAATCGGCCACAAGAGGGCCAAGTTCCTGGAGAGGGAAGGATAGGAGCAGAACTACTGCTACGATGACCCCTTTTTCTCTACACAGGCTAGGTATCCTACCGCCGCAGCAGAGAAACCTCAACCTCCGTCCCCCCCCCCCAAAAAAAAACCAAGAGGAATGCAAAAAACGAATAACGCCCCCCCCCCAAGACAAGCAACAAATCCAGACGACAACGACGATCATCGTCACAACAACAACGACAACAACCACATAGGACGAGTGAACGATGCATCACCGTCGTCATCATCACGCGTTAAGGGCGGCGCCCGAGACCTCCTCGACCATGCGGTGTTCGACCTCAGAGCCCGGGAGCTTGGACGCGTTGGCAGGGTCACGGTAACCCTCGGGGGATGTCTCCCACTCGCTCTTCTTGAGAGAACTCTGCCGTAGTTCATGAAAAGACGAAAAACACGGAACGCAACAAGCAGATGACGCGGGCTGTCATCGATCGGCACACGCTCCCACAGAAAATATGCACTACATTCTGTTGGAATACTCGACGCTGTAAACAACAGTACTTAGGTATTTACCCAAGGACTACTACCGGATTAGTCTTCGGTACGCTGATTCAGTATTCGGAAAGTTGTGCACACCTGCGGATTACACCTTGAACCATACAAGCATGGTACATCGGACCATTGTCCTACACGATGTTCTAGTAACGTTGCCATAGGTCGGATTAACCGTTTACTACCGTGATCGGTACATTGAAATAGCCCGCGTGTGTTTGCTTTCCGGTGATGACCATGGACGGCTCGCCCCCGTAGGTCGGATTAACCGTCTACTACCGTGATCGGTACGTTGAAATAGCCCACGTGTGTTTACTTTCCGTGATGACCATGGATGGCTCGCCCCCGTAGGTCGGATTAACCGTCTACTACCGTGATCGGTACCTTGCGATAGCCCGTGTGTGTTTACTTTCCGGTGATGGCCATGGATGGCTCGCTCCCGTGGTGCTCGCCCCCGCTCGCTCACTCCTACTCCTTTCCTTACCTTTCGGCCAACAAAGCGCCAATTCAAAGCATATTTTCTGGTCTACAACACAAGTGTACTTTACACTCTGTGAGCCTCTGCACACTGCTACTACACAAGTGACCATTGCTAGGGGTACATACACCTATCAAAGGTTACATCACAGCATAAGGGGGAGAATCAGAAACAGCATGTACCAAATCCCTGACGTATCTTGGCGGATCTTGCGGGATGCTAGCCCACCGCACAGATTTTAACTTAACAAGATTTCATTCGTAAATTCGACTTTCTGCTGATGACCTACAGAACCAGTCATCAGAGAGTCGATTTTACGAAGCAATTCTTCATAAGTTAGGATCTGTGAGGCGGGCTAGCATCCCGCATCAGCCGACAAGATACGTCAGGGATTTGGTAGATGTTGTTCTTGATTCTCCTCCTTTTGCTGTGATGTACGAGGCTCATAACCTGTTGGGATATAACCTGGTGATAGGTGTATCCCTAGCAATGGTCACTTGTAGCAACAGCATGCAGAGGCCAGTCACTCTGTAAGCCATTGCACACTGTTACTACACGAGTGACCATTGCTAGGGATACACCTGTCAGAAAGGTTACGTCCCAACACGTTCTTCTCGTGGAGCCGATACGTCACATCATATGCACACGCGGCAGTCCATCCCGCTTCCTTTTCGTGAAAACTGAAGCAACACGCCGAGAATCCCGAGCGGCTTCGTCGGTTGCAGTAACTGTATGATATGCCGGTCGGTTTATTACTCTCGCCGTTTATCGGCTACATCCATCCGAGTGTCACATATCTCCTGCCCATCAAATAAATCTTACAACAACAAATAAGCTTCAATTCGTCCCTGACCTGCACGTACGCCTTGCCCTCGAAGGGATGGTCAGCCGACGACGAAGGTCCCTGGGCAGCGGTGGCCTTGAGAAGCTTGTTGTCCGCGGCGACGGCGGCCTCGAGGCACTGGACCTTGGACATCTCCACGAACTTCTTGTTCACCTACAACAAACAACGACGGTCATTCATTCATCCATTAATTAATTCATTCCCATCACACGCACGAGGAGATGGAGTGAAACAAAAAGGATGGGCGTTTTTTCTACCGTACTAAAGCTTGGGTCGAACCTTGAACACCCTGTACGAATACCCCATTCGCGATTTCATTGTTGGCAGAACCAACATGAGTTCTACAGTGGACAGGTGAACCCCTCGTTGGGTAGTTGGCTTGTGACCACGGAAGGTGTCTGCATCAGTTTGACCAGTACGGATATTGCAAGGTACTGAGCGGAGAACGGAAAACGGAACGGTTTTTAATGTTAAGACAACAGCAACAACAGCAACAACGACAACTACAAAAACCAGAGCGATGGCAAAAAGGGGTGAAGCGCGAACGAATCTCCACGTACATGCATGTGCCAGAAGATGGTGATGAAGATGAGCACGACCGCAGCGATCGTCTCGTAGGAGCCGTCCTTGATGCCGATGTACGCAAGGAAAACCACCTCCCCGATGTACAGACATGCCATGCTGAAGCTGAACAGCAGGTACATAGACTGCCATGCAAACAACAACAAACAATAACAAAAACACGCACACACAGGGAAAAAAGACAGGTGAGATCACGGCTGGAACGAACGAAAAACTGCAGCAAAGAGACTGCATGAATAGACAGCGGTGACGTTGACCTACGTGTGTCCTTCGAGTCATGTCGCTGCATATCGCTGGCGTTGGGGATCCTGGGTCCCCACGCCGCTTCTTCCCACCTACGCTGCCGGAGGAGACCGCAACCGCGGCTGCTGCGGCTGCGGGAAGCCGCTGCTGTCTTCCCCGTCTCCTCCTTTACGTGTCATACCCTTGCGTATGTGGGTTTTGTTGTGGCGTTTCTGTCGCGACTTGGTGGCCTCAAAACACAGCCATCAACGTGGTTGCATCGTCGTTGTGGTGTCATACGAATTATCTTCGCCGCTGCGACTCCAAACAGCCAGCAAAATCACATCTGATATGTGATGATGTGAAAAATGTGGTGATGGCGTGGCCATATGAATCTTGTTGCTGCTGCGACTCAAGCTCAACACACAACCAGCGACGTCGCATATCATACGGTGTTGCATGCGGTGTGGCGTGGTCGCAACAGTCCCGTCACTGCTGCCGCTCAGTGAGCTCAAAACACAGCAACAGTGCTGCCTGCACGCGCGTGTCGTGGGGTTGCCTGCCACAAGCACATACTTTATTTACTATTATTCCCCGCTCGCGTACAGCACTCACCCCTCCCCCGCTCTCCGCCGTCTGCACGTAGACGTACAGGGCCTGGTTCTTGTACACCAGGTAGGAACCCAGGTAGAGCAGGCAGGCCGTGGGCAAGACGATCGGGGCGATGGCGGCGTAGCAGAACACGATCAGGAGCACGAACAGCCTGGGCGGAAGAGAGACGAGAGAAGATGAGGGGGGAGCGGGGGGGGTTGACACGCCGGGTTACCGAAGACAGGTCCAAGAGATCGATCGGTCGATCAATGACACAAATCGTGGAGAGAGGCGAGGGCACAAAAAAATTAAAAAACGCCGCAAAAAGGCCAGAGAGATACACACAAAAAAGAGTGCTCAAGACAGAAATCTGAGAAAAGCAACAGGAGAAAATGTAATACATTGTGTGTGTGTTTTCGTCCTATCTATTGCGGCGACAGTCCCCCCATTTTTCGTGGTGAGACGTGTACTACACTTTTCAGCGTATGTAGAGTACTACCCTTTTCAGTGTATTTTTTCGTACAACTACAACCATCCGGGGTCACACAGGGGGGGGGAAACACCAGGGCTTTTTTCTTCTTTGTATTTCTTTTCATGCCCCACCTTCCTCCTGCGGTGCGTGCTGAATTTCAACTTTTTTCGCGAGAAGGGTCCAGCCGTCCTTTTCCCTCGTCAACGGTGCCGACGTCGAAGTTTGGTACTCACGAGAGCTTGTCAGCTATATTTCGCTTTCACCCGCAAATTTCGTAATTTTTTCACCCCATGGGGATTCGAACTCACGACCTCGGCGACTAGCGGATTACGAGGAAACCACTGGGCCACCGGGGCGACCGGTACATTGCAATACCACGACACGACCGAATACAAAACAAAATCTGCACATGGACGTACAGCTAATGACAGCAAACATGGCAAAGCCAAGGACACAACAACAGCGGGAGTTTCGGGAAGTAGCCTTGCACAGGTTTTCATCAGCAAGCAAGCATACTGGACAGAATACAGAATCGGTTTAGGTTCGGGTTGGGGTTAGGGATGGGGTTACGGTCGTTCTTCGTCGAAACGTGAAAACCTTATCTTCTTCGCGTAGGCAGTCCCAGCAGGAGAAGACAAACACACACACAGGCCGGGGAAGAAAGACATAACAATGACTACTACTACTCACAGCTCCGGGTAGAAGACACCCCAGTTCAACGACGGCGCGGCCTGAGCGTTCCTCAGCTCACGGTCAGACTTGCCAACATCATCGGCCAGCTATTACGTTTCAAATGTAACAGAAACGTCGCGCACAAGCAGCAGCAGCACCAGCAAATAGAACAGCGCACGGCAAAAAAAACAAAACAGCGAGGGAAGAGATGCCACGGTCATCGCTCAGCTGTTATACTAGTTATGTGGTTGCGTCACGCAAGTAGTAGCAGAAAACACAGCACAGCAGTGCATCGCGAATAAAAAAAAAAGAGGGGGGGGGACAGGAGGAGCGACTCGAGTAACAAGCGAAGGGCAGTCAGTGGTAGGGTCGATACATGAGTGAAGGAATTGCTCGGACCGCCGAGGGCTTTTTCAGCGATATTGACATTTCGCTTTCACCCGCAAAATGTGCAAATTTTTCAGTCCATGAGGATACGAACTCACGTCCTCTGCGACTAGCGGTTTACGTGGACGCCACTAGACCACCGGGGCGACCGGTACATGTGGCGCGGTGAAGTGTACATCCGGTTACACACATGGCAGCACGGTGTGACAGAGTCCAATCAATCAAAATCGGCATATTTTAGACACTGGCAACGTACCGCTCCCATGATGGTCTTGATGATGAGGGGGATGATCCTGCTGAGGTCCATGGCCAGTCCGGCCAGGAGAGACACAATCAGCGAGTTCAAGAAGAACTGAGTCCCGCAAAAACAACAAAACACCACACACACACACCACAACAGCAGTCCCCACACAAACACACGTGCGACCAAAGTCGCCCACAAGCCCACCACCACGCACGTAGACACATGCCACGAAAAAGGCAGCAAGCGAGACAAAAAAAAAAAGGTCAGGCAGCGGCAGCAGCAGCAGCAGCAACCACGAAAACAAAGCAGAGCGGGTAGAAAAAACGCGCGCAGGGGCGGGCAGAAGGGGGAGCATGGGAGACGGCGAGAACGGTCAGATAACTTTCAACACACACAGACGCACACGACGAGCAATTCTCGTACTGTAGCAAGTGGACCCCACAAGAGGTTGAAAGTGCACCCGTCAGGTGCAGCAGCCTCAAGCGTACAGGACCCCAGGGCATGCAAACACAAAAAAAGAAGACATCAGCTACTACCTTGGGCCGTTCGCTTCTTTGTAGGGCACCGTTTTTTTTTTTTTTTCT